ACAATAATCATAAGAAACTCCCTACTGAGGATCGGATCCAATCGAGGGAAACACTCTCTCTTTTCAAAATTAAATATAATCAATACAAATCAAATATCAGAACCCCTATTTAGTATATTTAATCAGGAAAATATAAGTATTTTAATTTGTAGCAAACCTAAACAGAATGAACAAACTTTAGACAGAGTTCAATCAATAAAAATATATGGATAATGCATAATAATCAATAGATAAACAAAGAATCGTTTAATAGAGAAAGTCTCAAGCAAAGAATATGCAAAATAAAGTCCCATTGGATAAAAAAATCTTTAGATATTTACACCATTAGAGTGTTCTTTGATCATTTCTTTCAATATCTTTGTTCTTATAAGCTTTTATTTATAAGATCTAAGATATTTCATAAAGAAATGATTAACCCTCCAAAGATTTTTTTTCAATGGGAAAATATTCAAGAAAAAGATAGGAACCAAGCGGATGGCTGCAATCTTGAAACCTAAATTATTCAGTAAAAAAGACCCATCTAAAAAACTATGTTCTCAAAATAAAAGAATAAAACATTAAAGAAATACTCGTGGGTATTGGCAAAAACAAAGGCTACATGGACGAGAACATCTAGGAACAAGAACTAGTAAGGGTAATGGGGTCCATCCGCTGTCCGTCCAAGACTGGAAGTTCTGCTGGCTGTGGCAAGCTCCTTGGAAACAGTCGAAAGACAACCAGAAAATGGCCAAATGGAGTTATTAACCCATAAACATGCCTGAGAAAAGTATCATTTCTTGCTCTCCCGCTCCCGCTCCCTCTCCCTCTCCCTCTCTCATTTGGATTTTACCCCAGGCAACTGGCTGGGTTTTGTCAACGGGTATAATTTATGTAATCATGAGCCAAAAAAGGAAAAAAAAAAAACCAAAACAAAAACAAAAACAGCACAACAGCCACATGATTTAGGCAAGCTGTTGAAATATGTATTTCATAGCGGCTCTGCCTCCATCTCCGTCTCTACCTACCTACCTACCTCCACCTCCATCTCTCTATCTCCCTCGCAATCGGCATAGCCATCGCTGTCTCTTTCTCAATTCGCTTCGTTTCGTTTCGTTTGGTCTCTGATATGGTACTTGTTGGGTGTTAAAGTGCAATTAGTGCAGATCAAACAGGAAAGAGAGCGATCTGCAATGCTCGATAGTGGGCCAAAAAGGGAATGTGGATACCTTCCGGGCCAGCTCCGGACCAAAAACGCCCTCAAGACACGTTTAATATTGTTGGAATCATCTCTATAAATCTCTTAAAGCTCTTGCACTCAGAGGCCACACTCATATTTAAATTAAAAATTCGGTCCTTAAATATAAGCATAAAGAAATTAAATAGAAATCACTGTGACTCACAGATACGACTCGTTAATATTATTTTAATTTAATATATGGAAATATATTTAATTTAAAATATAAACATAAATATTTAGCTTTAAATATAAAAATATATTTCATTTTAGTATGAAATATATCTGAATGAAATATTAATATATTATTAAACATTTTAATTTAAATATATTTAATTTAAAATATAAACAAAAATCTTTAACTTTAAATATACAAATATATTTAATTCAAGTATAAATAATATATAAATGAAATATTTATATTTTATATTAATGCTAAAATATTGTATAAGGGAAAACCCTTTTTATTCTCTTTTTTTTTCTTTTTTTTTTTTTTTAATATAAAATTGCCATTTTTGGACCAAATTTATTTGACATTTATTTTGAAATCTTAGCTTAAACATACAAAAATCGGGGCTCATCGAATTTCAAAAGTTTCTTACATTTTACTAAAGAAAACAGGAGCTGTGGGGCGTCCAAGGACCCCGCCATGTGATTCGAATAGATACAAATTGGGAAAATATGTTTAAAACAGGCAAATTGGATGCCCCGAAATCCCCTCTAAGCTCTCACGATCCTGACAGATAGGCCCCTGTTCCACTAGAGCCCCATCGCTGTACAAATTTTCCCTAAGCGAATGGACATGTCCAATGTCGCGATTTATATCGGATGTGTGGTCTTGTGATCCCTATAAGAAGTGACGATGATCTGTTCCAGGCATACAGCCCCCGTCTCATAGAGTATCGAAACTTTCGCTTGGCTTTTCGAATATCGGGGAAGCAAGTGCAACGGGCGCTGCATCAGAGGGAGGGCCATTGGGGGGCAGGGTGGCTGATAGACAGTGCTCGAATAGGCAGTAAGGAAGCAGTGCAGCGGCACAAGTACTGCCATAATAGGTCGAATTAAAAGGGCAGCCAACTGGCAGTTCATTCCAGCTCGTTAGCCGCCACCGGCACCACCGTCGCCGCCACCTTTTGCCACTGCCTCTGCCACTGCCTCTGCCTCTGCCACTGCCTCTGCCTCTGCCACTGCCTCTGCCGTTGCTTTTTTTCTATGGTCTACGTGAGGCGCGGCACCTGACACCTTGCCATCTATGACATAAGCAGCAGGCTTGAAGCTTTTTTTTTTGACAATGCTGGCAGTCGGGCCCCTCGCTCTCGTGCTGCCCCACGGTCCAGTTTGCAATTGAAATTATATGCCTTGAACGATTCGGGGTTTGGGGTTCGGCTTCGGTTTTTGGAGTGTTTGTGGTGTTGTGCGATGCAGTACGGGCTGCAATTGCAGCAGCTTCGACTGAGGCTGCGGCTGCGGCTGAGGCTGAGGCTGAGGCACGGCGGCATAATTGTCCGAAATTACACAGAGAGATTATTCAATCCCTGTGCGATACGTGGCCCCCACCCTCTGCTTGGATTTGGTGTTTTTCTGAGACTTTTCGTATGTGTTCGACATCACGTCGCTCTGTTTGCACTTCATTGGAGCCCCCCAGAAGGGGGGAGTGCAAATTCCCCAAAACAACTCATGAATCGCTGTTGGGACACTGAAGGATTTCCAATGATCGAGTGGAGTGGAGTCTCAGCCCAAGCACTCGATCAATCATGGGGCAGGGCTCAAACCACATATTTGTGCATTTAATCTGCATATTTGGCCATTTTTATGCGACTTCCTACCGTAAACCACTTGACTTTTATATTATTTTAGTATATCATTCATTAGTTTTTTTAATGGATTAGCCGTCCCCACACACCCATCCATTATACCACCCTCGTCTCGACGGGCTGTCCCAAAATCCCAAAATCCCAAAAGCCCCAGAGCGACTTGGTCTCATCGAACTGAACTCTTGGCGGTTTAATGACCCAAATTGGTTTCATCGTTTCACTGACCACAGACACAGATACGTATGGGTGTACCCCATATCCCCCCCACCCCCCCCCCCATCCCTTGGCAGTGTGTCATCATCGCACATCTGCGGGCACCACTGATGATCATTATCATTATCGTTTGAGATCATTTCGGGTACCCGATTTTCGTTGTCTTTGGCATAACACTTTCCATTTGTATGCGCCGCACAGCCCTCCCCCTCCTTATCCCACCAGCCATCGACGGCTATGACTTGGCGTTTCGTTAAAATCAAATCAAATATTTGGTTAAGCTTTGGTATTGATATTTCTCTGGGCATCTCTCCTGGCCCTCTGCTCCCTTCTGGGGGCTGGGGGCTGTGGGCCGCGGACTACCGTCTGAAGGGCCTTATATAAGAAACAAATCAAAGCGCTTTGGGTGGTTTATGGTACGGCATCGTGTTTGCTTTCTGTCTGTTATTATTTTCGGAACTTTATTGCCAATACGTGTGTGGTGTCGCTTTTGGCCAGACCATGTGAAATTTGCAATTGCAATCGGCCAACGGCCAACGGCCATCGTCGTCCCATCCCTTGTGCCAGGTCCCATTAGCAGACGGTTGATAATTGTCTGGCTGGGCATTGCCCAAAGAGCCAAAGCAAACGGGAAAGACAACACCTGCGAAATAAAACGTGTCAACGCTGGCCAAATGTGTGGTCAATAGCAGCCGTAACCTTGGCACACTTGAAAGCCGCAGAGCCGCAGAGCCGCAGAGCCGTAGAAAAGCGAAACTATCGGCAACCCGGAAGCCACGCCCACACGGAAATGCTCGCCAATTTATTTCGGGAGGATTATGCTCGATCATCCGCTGGCTGGCAATCAAACTGGGGCCAAGCCACGCCCAGTGCTTATGGCAATCAACAGTTTAAATGGAAACCACCGACACGAACGTGCCCCATCAAAGCGGGGCCCAAAAGGGGTCCATCTGTGGATAGGTTTGGCCAGATTGGTGCTTTCTTTGGTACTCTGTGGTAGGGACATTTTCTTCCTTCAGCCGGCGAGAGCACAACTCAATGGATCTTATTCAAAATACCACAAGCTAGAGCTTAACAAAAGCCCAACACAGCCATGCTTTTGGTTGCAGCACCGACTAGTCTCTGACTGTGGGGGAAAGTGGTGCCTATACCACAGGCGCTGCCCACAAAATCACCCAATAGAGATGGCACTTGGACACGGCACACAGCCATATCAAGACAAAGATCAACTACATATTCATTTGAGCGAAGGACAACTGTATTTCTGTAGGCATTAGAATGGTAGATAGCATTCGAAGGACTGCCACATACAGATTCCCCTACGGAAGCAGGCCTTTGAGACTTGAAATGGTTGCACCCTGGAACCCTACGATAGTCCTGAATAAACAGACAACCGAAGCGATTCGGTGGGAATCGTTTGGTCGACGTCTCAGCTTTCTCCCTGCATCGATTCACTCGCCACAAAAAGGACTAAATAAAGCAGGGGACGCCATTTTTACTATCGAGGGCTCAGTACTTGTCATCTCTAGTTATAAGCCCCTTGATTGCAGCACTAGGAAAACCCAAATAAATAAATAAACACTGTATCAGATCCGAAAATTTCGGTTTTTTTGTCTCGCTCACTCTCCACTTAATTTACTGTGGATGCTGTGAGTCCTGGCGAAGAAAATAGCATCAAAACACAACAGAAGTGCGCATATAAATTATATAAATATTTAATAAAATGCTCGATGCAAACAAAATAAAAAAAAGGTCTGGTATATGGTAAATGGCTAATACTAATTAATTAACTTAAGAGACTATGCATAATTTAGACAGCGATTAAGAGGGAGCAAAACGTAACAGGAAATTCACACGAGTATGAGTAGTAATTAATTAATTCACATTTGACTAGTTGAAACATAAATTAGCGATAGATGGGGGATGGGGGATGGAGGATGGTGTTTTGGGCGGCTAGGAGGCCAGCACTGGTGGCGGTGGAGACGGATGCGGATTGGTGGGCCGCCGGGCACCCCAGTCCTCCTTGATGAGGTCGGAGGCCTTCTCGCCAATCGCGATTACGGGGGCATTGGGATTGCCATTGACAATGGTGGGCATAATGCTGGCGTCCACCACCCGCACACCGGACACGCCGTAGACCCGCAGGCGGGGATCCACGACGGCGGTGACATCCCAGCTGGGGCCCATCCGACAGGTGCCGGCCGGATGGTAGATGGTGAAGGTGAACTCCTTGATGCAGCAGGCCCAGTAGGCGTCCGACTGGAAGGGCAGGTGCCGGCAGCCGGGCAGGGGAATGTTGTGCAGCCGCGAGCCGAAGCGCTGGAAGGCCTGCGTATTGGACACATTGATGGCCAGCTTGATGCCCTCGACCAGGACATCGATGTCCTCCTGGTGGGCAAAGTAGTTGGGTATGATCTTGGGCTGTTGCTGCGGATTCCGCGAGTTGAGGCGCACCCATCCAGTGCTCTTGGGCCGCAGCAGGAGGGGCAGTATCGACCAGGTCTCGCTGTGCTGCAGGGGCTTGTACACCGTGTTGTAGAACCCATCCCTCAGATTGAGTATCTTGCGGATCTGCTCGCCCCCGTCCGAGTTGATGGAGCTGGGGCAGAAGTGGAACTGCACGTCCGGCCAGTCGACGCCCGGGTCCTGGTACTTGGTGTTCAGGAAGGCCACGCCCTCCACCCCCGAGAAGGTCATCGGGCCGCGCTCACGCAGTATGTACTCCATGGAAACGGGTATGGTCTGGAAGCGATTCCGGGTGACCGTCAGCGGGGCATCCACCACAAAGGTGAGCCCCCCCAGGCCCACATGATCCTGCATGTTGTTGCCCACGGGCAGGTCCGAGATGACCGGTATGCTGTGCTCCTGCAGATGCTCCGCGGGCCCCACGCCGGAGAGCATCAGCAGCTTGGGCGTGTTGAGGGCCCCCGCACTGACGACCACCTCCCGCCGGACAAAGACCAACTGCTTGCGGCCGGCCCGCATGTACTCGACGCCGATGGCCCGCTTCTGTTTGTCGAAGAGGAGCCGCGTGGCCTCCGCATGGAGCAGGACGTCGAAGTTCTTGCGCTGGCGCACCGGACGGATGAAGGCCTTGCCCGTGCTGCAGCGCGCCCCCCGCCGGATGGTGCTCTGGGTGAGCATGAAGCCCGTCTGCTGGGCCCCGTTGATGTCGCGGTTCTCGTAGCCCATCTCCATGCCCGCCTGCAGGAACGCAATCGAGAGGGGCGTGCGCCAGGGGGCCTCCTGGACGGTCAAGTAGCCGCCCGTCTCGTGGTAGGGCGTCTTGGCCAGATAGGGATTGCGCACGTCCTCCGACTTGAGGAAGTACTTGAGCATGCTGTCGTAGTCCCAGCCCGGATTCCCCAGCGACGCCCAGTGGTTGTAGTCGTTCTTCGAGCCCCGCACATAGACCATCGCGTTGAGCACCGAGCTGCCGCCCAGGACCTTGCCCCGCGGCCAGAAGCACCGGTCCCCCTTCATCGCCTGGCAGTACTGGCGCGTCGACGAGGGCGTCGTCTGGTACTTCCAGTCCAGCTCTGTCAGCTGCAGATACCCGGCCAGGGCCGGCACATCCGATATCTCGGTCTCGTCGCCACCCGCCTCCAGCAGCAGCACCGTCCAGTTGCGCACCTCGCTCAGCCGATTGGCCACCACAGCTCCGGCCGAGCCGCCGCCGATCACAACGAAATCATACTGACGTCGGATCTGAAAGAACAAAACAAAGGTGACATTCGTGGGAGACCTCATAGATGTGTAAATGGGGGCGATGCAATGGGCATCTTGTGGGCCTGAAGATCGCCTCGGATCCAAGAGCTAACAACACTTACGACAGATGGCTCCTGGACCTTGTTCTCGGGATCGACGCTTTGATAGCGATAGAAATTCATGCCGATCGCCAGCAGCGGGATCATGCCAAGCAAAGACGTCATTGTGCCAAACGCCATGTTTCAGTAATTGTCAAATCCACGGATCTTCCTGGCAACGCTTGGCCGCTGAGGTGGCACCCGCGCCCGTTGTGCCGCCGGAAACGCTCGATCGCCTGCCCGCCTGCCCGTAGCCGTAGCCGGTGCCCGCAGCTGAGGCCGGCGCACTCGCGGACAGCGCCGATGGGGCGATGGAGATGGAGCTGCAGCTGGAGCTGGCCGTGTCACCGCTGGCCAGTATCTTTGGCGTGTAGTTGCGTATGCCGCCGGGGCGGGCCGACTTGAAGTGTGCGCGCGCCCGTTCGTCCTCCTCCAGGATATCCAGATACGACTTGATGTACAGGTGGTGGCTCAGGTAGTGCTTCTGCTTGTCCAGCGATCGGTTGCTCGACTTGCTCGAGACCAGCGAGCTGGGACAGCCCCGGCTTGAGCCGCCGGTGCTGCTGGCGGTGCTTCTGCTGCTGCAGCTGCTGCTGCTCACCGCCGACAGCGAGGACACCGAGGAGCAGTGGCAGGACGAGTTGTAAATGCCGCTGTCCGAGCTCTGCGAGCAGCTCCTCACCAGATACTTGTTGTTGAGCTTCGCGTAGTTGGAGTCCGTGTCCGATGATTGGCTAGTGCCGCCCAGGATCTTGGTCCGTTCGTAGGTCTGTTTGCTCAGATTGTATTTGTGTCGGAGTCGATAGTTCTGGTTCAGGTTCGAGTTTGGACTACTGTTGGTGTTGCTGTTGGTGTTGCTGTTGGTGTTGCTGTTGGTGTTGCTGTTGGTGTTGGTGTTGGTGGAGGAGCTGCTGGATAGGTGGCTGGTGGCTGCGTAGATGGGCTGCTGGCTGCCGCTGTTGTTGCTGTAGAAACTCTTCCTTTGTGGCTGCGGCTGCGGCTGTGGCTGTGGCTGTCGTTTGTGGCTGGGTGATTGTTGCTGTTGGTGTGGTTGTTGTTGATTTGCTTGTTGGGATATCTCCTGGCCCATATTTTGACCGAAATATGAACACAACTGCAACGAGAATGTGGCAAAAAGGGAATAAATTAAAACATTTGCCTCACACCTCCGATAGATTCGATTCGATTCGATTCGATTATATTCTGTTGTTGAAAACTCTTTTCAGACTATCCATTGCAATCGGTCGTCTCGAGGCCCACTCGAGCTGAAGTCCCCCTTGGATGGGATTGTACACACTCGGTTCGAGTGAGTTTCTGTCGTGGGAGCTCCGCTATCGTTAGCCATATACGGGGCCACTATAGCGGAGTAGTTGATGAGAGCATTGTTGATGGACTTTGTTGTGTGTCTTGTTGCTGGTCATGTTGCATGGCGACATGCAAGCGGCTTTCGTGATTGTCCGCTTGTCCATCGGAAGCCGCTAACTAATCCAATCTGAGGCCATCCCCTGCCCCCCCCACTGCCTGCCCGGCCTTTGGCCAATCGTTGGCCAATAGATGGCGCTCTCGCACGCGCTCCGCGAACAAAAGACTTGAGCAACGAACTTGTTTACACGTTTTTTTCGCAAGCAACGGCCAACAAAAAGTTATCAAATCGAAATCCAGTGTATAAATATTCAAATGATGTCAGCTGCATCTCATTACCCAAACTACTCCCCTCTATCGTCTATCCCCCTGCCCCCGCCCCTGACCCTCTTTGCATCTTTGGGGCCTCTTTCGAGTTTTTTCCAAGCTTATTTTTCAAGTTCAATGCCGTTTGTCGGGCGGAAAAACGCTGAAAAGTCTCTCGGTCTTGGCCACAATCATAGTCTCCGCTGCTGTCCCCTGTCCGTCGTCTCTGTTGATATTATTGTAAAATGCAATTTCGTTATTTTGTTCGTCTATGGCAGGCATCGTCATTAATTGCAACTGTTGTCCAGCTCCAGCTCCAGCTCCTGATGCTGTTACTGTTGCTATTGCCATTGCTGTTTCTGTTTCTGTGGTTTTTCCAGTCCAGCTCTGCCTGTCTGCCTGTCTGCCTGTCTCTCGACTCGAAGACTCGATCGCAGTGAAAGCCACTCAGAGCCAAGCGACAGCCACAGCCACAGCCACAGGCACAGGCATGGATCGAGCTTCCTACATAAACCGAAGCGTACTGCCATGCAATCGGTTGAAAATGTTTAAAATTTCGTTTTGGATACCCTGTTCGGGGGTTACTGGCGGACCTGCCTAGGATAAAGGTTGGATCTATTCGAAATCGGTGCAACGTGTATTTTGTTTTTGGATTCGCTTTGGAAGAACTCAAATCGGGGTAGATAGCGATGCAGTTTCTGCTTATTGGCATTAAGTTTGAGCCAAGTCTGGGTACATTTTCCTTCAGCAGTTATGGGAGTGATCCAGGAAAGGGTTACAGGTCAGAGGGAACCCCTCTTGGAGCTTGTGGCAGGGTATGTGATGATTCGCAAGATGATGAAAGTGTCTTTTGTCTTTCTTCTTTCGGTTTTCTTTCTGGGGTATTACTGGGGTATTTCTGGGGTATTTCTGGGGTATTTCTGGGGTATTACTGGGGTATTTCTGGCCACCTCACCCCTTCTCTGGCCCGGCACTCACATAAGGGAAACAAAAACAAAGGACGGGGCTGCGAGCTGCGAGCTGCAACTGTAACCGTAACTGTAACTGTCGCCGTCGCCGTCGATTAATTAACCGAAAATAGTTGTCTATTTTTGGAGGCACTAAAAACGCGTATATCTCTGCCCGTCGGAAGTTTCGCTGAGCAAAAATCAAAAGCGAAATGGAGGCAACAAAAAAGTAGCGATTTGAACGGCTCGACGGTTGGCATGTAACTGAGCAAACACCAAACATCATCATCATCATCCGCAGCGGCAGAGGCGGCAGCAGAGGCAGCAGCGGCAGCAGCGGCAGCGGCAGCGACGGCAGAGGCAAAAATTAAATCCAAAATTCATTCACTCAAATACCCGTTAAAGACAGACGCAACAGGTGCGTGCAACATCGACGGCAACAGGCAGCAACGACCAACGATCGACGCTAATTTATGCAACGCCCTTGGGGCGGCCACCCAAAAGCAGTCACAAATGAAAATTTGTCTGGTTTTTGGGCCAACCGCTTGACCAATGTAGACCAAGCCCCCAGATTGATGCAATCCCCCCCCCCCCCCCCCCCCCCCAAAAAAAACAAACAAGAAAGAAAGAAAAAAGTGCTTCAGGGCCCGAAGCCTCAGATACCCTGGGGGATTGATTGGTTGCCAAGGAAAGTGGTTCCTGAAACTCGTACCAGCAATCCCGAAAAGACCAAAATCCACTGATAAATTGTAGTCATTAAGCATAGTATATCCCTCCGAAGGGAGGGCTATATAACCCTATATAAGCCTTCGCTAGGGTATCCACAAAATACACAAAAATGTGGTTCAGCTGTAATTTCCCAGGCACATCTTTTACATCACATTGATGTCGGTGTCGATGTCGATGTCGATGCTGATGCTTCCCTCGTTAGATGTCTGGCTATTTGTCTGTGTTGTTGGTTATGCAATTCACACATTGTTAGGAACTGGTCTCGGTCTGGGCCTCGGTCTGTTTCACACCGTCCAGCTGTCGGTCAATTATGATTCGACAGCTTTTAATTATGGCCGCAGTTGATGCGGCATAATTGATGACATTTACGGAGGCCCTAGACACAGGTCCCGGTGTCTCCCCTCCCCTCCCCTCCCCTCCCCTTCTCCTCTGCCATCAAGTCTCACGTCAACGCTTTCTCGGCAGTCGACTGCGTCATGGTACCGTGACACATTAAAGAAGCTCAACTCAAGCTTAGACCAGACACACAGATACTTTGCACTCACACTCACGCTTCTGCGGCGTACTCTTGTCGCATTTCCGTGGCGTGTGTGCTCTGCAGTTGCTGGCCATGTTTGTGCCACACATGCCTCAATTGGAGGCGACAATCCAGCAGGGATTTGAAGGCTTCGTATCTATCTGACTTTCCATCTACTGAATATATCTGTATTTGTATAATTTGAAGGTACTCTTAAGATACATACATATTTCGATAGGTTTTTATCTGAAACATAGCCTTATATTTGATCTGTAAAATTGTATGTATCTGGGGGATTCCATCCTTGGAGTAGAGGATGTTTTTTTTTTGGCCTATACTTATACATAATTTACTTGAAATATTCATCGCCCACCCAAAACTAGTCCATAGGGCATTCCCAGTTCGTTGGGGCTCGGGGCCCATTCGGACAGGCTCATCTGTGTGTGTTATGGCGCTTTCTGGCAGGTTTCGTTTTGGTTTGGTTTTTTTTTAAATTGTTTTATGCATATGCAGTGGCAGTGCCGCAAGCGCCACTACCAGTGCCACTACCAGTGCCAGTGGCAACCAACACGCGCTCCATGATTGCCTCTTTATGGCCGCGACGTGCACAAATTGATAATAATTCGCACAGAGGTGTGAGGCGGTGCCTCTCTGGCGCTGCGGAGCTACCGATACTCGACGGTAGAAAGTGTGAAGCTCCCCACAAACCGCAAGTCCAAGCGGAATGCGAGGCGTGGCTGGGAGGAGTCTTGCATAAGAATGTCACTGGCTCTCCTGCCTTCCCGCTCTGCCCTTCTCCAGCTCTCTTTTTCCCGCTCAAGTGTCCGAAATTGGACTTGATTGCATAAGAGAAATACAAAAAAAAAAAAAACGAGAAAAAAAAAGTGAAAATGATCGCTGTCATAAGTACAGTCGAACTTCTTTAAGTCGAACCATCGTTTAGCCAGACCAGGAACCCCAAATATAAACTTATTGGAATATAAATATAGTGAAGGTCGAATCTGATGATATTTTTTGAGTTGGAAGTTGGAGTTCCAGAAAATTCCCTATACGGCAAGTTTGAATGCTCTTCAAGGGGTATCTATGTAAATGTATCTCCGGGGTTTAAGTGGTAACTACTAAAGTTAGTCACGTGCTGAACTATGACATCCATTGACTGGTCGCCCAACGAGACTTTCACTGTACAAACTCGTGGTGTAAGTGGAAAATAAAGAATATGGCTATGGCTACGGGATGTATCTATCAGTGGTTCGTTTGTTTCGATTTTGGTATACTTTTTGATGCACTTGCCTTCGTTTTTTGTGGTTGGTGGTGGCCCGTCTGTGGCTTTTTTTCTCCCTGCGTTTGTCCGTGCGGCATCAAGTCGAACCCCACGGCTGGCCACTTTCCTTTGTCTCACACACGACCACCATGACGGCTGCTCTCATTCATGGCAAAACAGAAACAAAAATTGTAACAAATAAACAAAAAACAAAACAAAAACTGAGTACAAAGTTCGATTCAATTCGATTCGATTCGATTTAGTAGCACAGTAATCTCGAAACTTTTATTTGGCTTTGGCGAATGATTGAGTCGAATTGATCGTAAAAGCACACGCACACACACACTCGGCGAACTCGGACGCGGCTACTGTTCCCCTTTTTGATATCTGCTGTCGGATGTCTGCTGTCTGCTGTCGGCGATACGCACGCCACGAGCTCGTCTTGTTCAATGAGCAATTTGGCCAGGCCGCTGCTTTTTTCGGCATTCGGCATTCGGCATTCGGCCTTCGAAAGCTTTCGGCTTCAAATGCAGACTTACAGCAACAGCCACAGAAACAGCCACAGCAGAGGCGGACGAAAAGAAAGCTGTCTCTAGACACCCTTGCCAGTCCGTTGTGGCTTTAAGTACAGCAAACTATAGCACTAGTATATATACTTGCATTTCTTTGTTGCAAAACTCTGCTGCGGAAGAGTATTGGAACAGCTAGAAAAGACCTGCTGCAACGCTGCTGCCCGACTGCACTTTCGTTTTCGTTTTCGTTTCGTTTTCATTTCCCTTTCGTTTGGCTTCGGCTGCTGTCTTCGTGTCTGGCGAGTGCTACGTGCTCGGCTCAACGTTTTGTATGCCAATGCATGGCTTTAAGCTGCTCCGAAAGCTCTGCGGAATTGGCGGCTTAATGGTGTAATAGTCGATGGCCAGACAGAGACAGCGGCAAAAGTCGCGGGAGAGAGAGAGAGGGAGAGGCCGGTTTGGAGGCTTTCTTTGGCTAAGCCAAAAACTGAATCCGATCGATCGATCGATCGTTGGCCAACGATCATCGTTTTAGAGTCTGGCAATCAATTTACTGTTTTATTATTAGCGATGCCCAATTCCCAGATGCAAGCCGTAAAGGTGGCCGTAGAGAGCCCTATTTTGGTTTGCGATTTCCGGTGTGGCTGTTTCGAACTCCATTTCCCATTGGTTTAATCAGAGAAAAACTTATCACGCTACGGTCATTCATGTGTAGGATATTTCAACCTTTTCTCCGACTTATTTACTTGGTTCCCTATATATTCCAGAACTTTTGATGATTCGTATTCGTATAGCCATATAAATATATAAACGGATTTGCTCCAAAGTTGGAAATTGAGAATAGATAGTGTTTTGACTTATATTTGTACATTAATATAAAAATATATATATATTTTTAATTCAAATTGGTATATTTCATAGTAAAACTATATATTTGATTTTCATATTTGAATTAAGCTTATTCATTATTTCAATTAAATATTTTTCATAATTAAAGTAAATGTATTTCATTTAATATAATTAATATACAATTAAATATTTTTCATAATTAAAGTAAAAAAAAATATAAGTATATGTTTCATATTTCAAATAAATATATTTCATATTTCGATTAAGTATATTTCCTACAAATTTAACCTATTATATTAATTTTTAAATTTTTTATACTTCGATTAAATAAAGGCCGTTGAAATACTTTTTAATACATTTTTATTTAAATAAAAATAAATTGTTATTAAATTTCACTATTTAAAAACTGAATATTTAATTAAGACATTAATTTTATGCAATTTGTTTTGAGCCTTAATTTTTTACATATTTTCCTGTAATATACTATATATTTATGTGTCCAGTGTCCATTATATCAATTGTTTTCTGGTTGGTTCTAGTTCTTTGTGATCCTTAAAGTTTTTTTTCGTTTCTTTTTTTGGTGTATCGTCTTTTCCACTCATTCACTTTTTCTCTTCTCGATTACTGTTAGTAGCCTATCTCGCTCTTTTTACCCCCTTTTTACGCCCCATAGCTAGACATTATCTCGGTTGTTCAGTCGCCGAGGTGAGTGCCATGAAATGGTGGCAAGACCCTCCCATCCACCCATCTACCCATCCACCGAGTCATCCAAGCCAAACAAGCCATCCACTCTTCACAGATCATTCGTTTATTCGTTTATTCATTAATTTATTCATTAGCAGAGTCAAAGAGTTGAACAACTTTGTGAACTCTGCGAGCATTATCAGGTGCAGTCACAATTGGTCCCCATTGAGGGGCTCCTCAGGGGGCTCTATTCAAAGGCCGAAAACAACAAAAACCGAGATACACCGAAATGTCGGGCCATGGGAAGGGGAGGAAAGGTGGTACAAGGTGGTCCCACTGAAGTTTCACCCAACAAAGCCACAAGCTGGTTCCGCTGTGATCGTATTTACTTATGTTTTACCCGTACTCGTAGTCGTATATTTCTTTCGCCTGCTTCCGACAACCAGGCCAAAAGTTGGGGCCCAAAAGCCGAGCTTGACACTGCCTCGGGGTTTTTTCTGGTGGGTGCGGACTGAAATGAAGCTGGGAATGGAGCTGATGTTGGGGTTGGGACTGCGACTGGAACTGTGAGAAGCCCCCATTCGACTTGGGCAACTTTCATTTTCGTCGAGAGATGGCCGCGAAATTTTGGTTGTTTTTTTTTTTTTTTTCGGACGGTCATTGCGCCGCTGTCTGTGGCAAAGCCATGGCATATAAATATTTATGTGTTGCACTTGAGAGAGCGCTGGAATGGGAATCTGGGGGCCTCCCAGATTTATGTGCAGTTTCCGCGACCCGTCTCCCGTCTCCCGACTCCCGACTCCCAGCCGTAGCTGCAGTCAAAGTCGTAATCGCTGCAGTGCGGGTAATTAGCTGTGGCACAGCAGAGCACCACCGCAGCAGCACCCGCCCCCGCACCCGCACCCGCACCATCAGACGCACCAGCACCCGCTTCGATGGCTTCTTGTAGTGCATTTTGTTAACAAATTATTGGACGCACACCGAAATGCATTATTCAATGCGAATCCGATAGCGCAATGAAATGGTAGATGGAAATATTTAAAAACAATTGCGTCTACGCACCGTTAACTCCTTCGAATCACCGTTAATGCGTACCTAATGGCATCCATCAGAAAACAGCGTGTAATTGCACAAATTGTAATTGGTTTTCGGAACAAGGCGATTCCAATTCCGATTCGGCATTATGGCATTTGCTTTGAATCATCTAACCGCGTCTAATTGCACCGATCCATTGGTATCTGTACGAGTATCTCTATCTGTATCTGTATCTGTATCATACACAATGAGGAACTCTATGATTATGGCTAGGCCTCTTGCATAACATTTCCTTTTTACCAATATGTATATGCTGGGGAAATAAAGCGAGGATACTCACATATGCTGGTAGTTCCGAAAGGAAATGCCTTCGATTCTATACTGAGGAGCCCCATTCTTTCAACCAGAGCTTGTCCATTCTCTACCATCCTAAACGATCCCTTCTATTGTATATCTCTTCTGAGAAACAACAATTAATTCATGAATACTACATATTACACAATATTTTAGTCTAGCATTTATGTTCTTCATCCTCTCCCATAATACCATTTAGAAACCTTCATTCAGTGGGATTCGTTCGGTCTGTGAGAATCAGCGTCTCAGTTTTCTCATTACATCAAATCTCTTGCCCAAAACGGACTGAACGAAGCCGGTATCGTAAGTCAGATCCCAAAATTTCGGGTTTTTTTTCTCGCTCACTCTGTATTGGATTCTCTGGTAGGGCGAAGGCACACGAACTCCGTATTAGGTTTTGAGTAATTTTAAGAGACATACGAATGAAAATCTTAGGAATACACGAGCTGCGGATTCATGCAGGGCTCTACATCCTATCAAAGATTTTAGAACACCTCTGCTCCATCTCTTTGAAAGAGAACAAGCCGAGTGGGTCTCTTAATGGGATTTGTATCGGTATGAGAGGCGTCATCTATGTACGATTATATGCCAAGCAACCATTGATTTATGGGTTATTCTTCAGCTACCGGTATTCCGATCCATTTATGTAGCTTTGGTTATGCCAAGCCAGGCTTAAGCTCTGTCAAGTTTGGACACAGCTTTTAAAGTTGTTTCAACCGTTTAGCTTTAAGCTCACATTTCAAATAGTTATATAGCCACGACTTATAGCTTACTAATATCTGCTCTTCTTTTCCTTCATTACAGGTTAGTTCCATCCGAAGCATATCCAACTACACATGTGGCTGCAAAACTGTAACTGCAGAAAACTTTTCCCATATACATACATATACATAGACATACGTAGACAAGATGTAAGTTTATGCCGAATTCCAGGAGCTTTTGGGCTTTCAACATGAATAGTTTCCCAGCTGTACTATTACCAGTGTCATCTTTGCTCTCAGAGTGTGTTCTACACTACTACACAGTGGCTTCAAAACTGGCCTACGGTCTATCGTGGCATTAAAACTGTCAGCTTCCATACTTACGAACAGCATTTTATGTGGCACGACAACGATCTTATTGTGGCTACTAGAACAATGGGTGCTTCTATCAAATCCCCCATTATTTCCTCTATTATTTTAATGTTGGGTAAAAAATTAAGTAAATCCCATGGCGATAATACGAGTACATTCGTCACCAGGAGAAGGCACGAACGCAGCCCTCCTCCCGTCCAACCGACCGATGGGTTAACCAAACCTATAATCATGTATAAAATGTAATTTTGGTCATCATATGGGGATCATCAGGGTGACCGTTTATGGGCTTTGCTCCCACAAAAAAAAAGGTTTTTATTATAAAATAAGTTGTGGCTTGAATCATATAAATATATATTTACTGGGTGCGCCATCTTTGTTTATGTAAAATGATATAGATTTCCATTATATTCCATGATTTCCATTATAAAATACATTAGTCAGTTTTCGCACCATGCTGCTCTCAAAATATTAGTTTGTTTTACAACCACTATGGACATGCGCTGAAAACTGTTCAGTGGCTGTCAAACTATGGTCGTACATATGTGAAGACTGCACCTCTCCATTTGCGATATCAATTTATTATGCGTTCGGTTCGTTTGCATTTGAGAGTAGTCGTATTCTAGTCGAAAGCAAACATCGAATGCTTCCGAAACTATCCAAAACTTAACAGCTAATTGAGGTACTCCAAGTGTACGCGGCGCCAGACAAACAGTAGCTACAAATTAAATTCTAAAAGTTAAAAAAAAATATATAAAAGTATAGGTATATGGGTATGTATAAAAGTATAACGCATAAACGATACGAAACAAAAAAGGAAAACAAAATAAACAAATTAGCATAAATGACTCGATATTTACATGAAGCGCTTAACTAAGACTAAGTCCGGTAGGGATGGGTAGGGAAGGGGGATGGGCTAATGGAGGGTAGTGGGGGGAGAGAGTGGACAAAAACTAAAGCTTAATAAATACAATTTATTCAACATCGCGGCAATTTGTGCTAAACTAAAGGCTAAGGCAACGCGCGACCTCTCGCACTGGATCTTTTGAGTCCCTTTCCCGTGTCCCGTTTCCCTTTCCCTCAACCGCAGCCCCAGAACCACCCGTAAGCCCCCAATTGAAACCCCAAGAACTCTAGGAACGGAACCCAGCTACGAGCTCGGCAATTCCCATTGAAGAACCGCCTCCGCCTGGACATGTTCCATTCGGTCGTCGGTGGATGAGGTCGTGGCATTTCCCGATCTCAGTTCCCGCTTGCCCCTCCATAGGGGTCGTGTGGCTTGACCCTGCCCCTGTCCCAGTCGCGGCGAGGGCCCAGAGCTGGGTGACAGCCACAGCTGCTTGATGAGATCGGCCCCCTTCTCGCCAATCATCACGACCGGGGCATGGATATTGCCATTGGTGATCGCTGGCATAATGCTGGCATCGATCACCCGCAGCCCGGGTATGCCGTAGACCCTGAGCTGGGGGTCCACCACGGCCCAGGGATCGCTGGGCGGTCCCATCTTGGCCGTGCCGCTCATGTGGTAGATGGTCATCGTGTACTGCCGGATGAAGCAGTTCCAGTAGTCGTCGGTGAAGAGCGTCAGGTGCTTGCAATTGGGCAGCGGCTTGTTCCAGAAGCGGGCCCCGAACCGCTTCATGGCCTCCGTCTCGCCCATGGCCACGGCGGCCTTGACGCCCTCCCGCAGGACATTCACATCGTCCGGATGGGTGAGGTAGTTGTGGTAGAGCAGGGGATACCGCAGCGGGTTCTTGGAGGCCAGCTTGATGAAGCCCCGACTCTTGGGGCGCAGCATCATCGGGAAGATGCCGAAGACGTCGCGATTGTTGACCTCCCCGAAGACCTCCTGGTAGAACTCGTCGCTCAGCCCGTGGGCGGTCTTCACCTGTGACCCGCCGTCGGACATCACCGAGGCGGAGGTCATCATGAAGTTCATGTCCGGCCAATCGTCGCTGGCATTGGCGTACTTCGTGTTGATGAAGGCCACCGCCTCCAGTCCGATGCTGGAGGTCAGCGGACCGTCCTCGGTGATGGCATACCGCAGGGCCGTGTTGATGTTCACCATCCGCTTCATCACTATCGATATGGGATAGTCGATCAGGAAGGCAATGCCGCCCACGGCGATGTGGTCCTGCAGGTTCTGGCCCACCCCCGGCAGGTGCTGGACCAGGGGAATGCCGAATCGACTCAGCTCCTCCCCGTGCCCGATGCCCGACAGCATCATGAGGTGGGGCGAGCTGATGGCCCCCGCCGACAGTATGACCTCCCTGGTGGCGTACACGTTCTGCAGGCGTCCGTCCCGGATGAACTGCACCCCCGTGGCCCGTTTCGTGGTGGGGTCGGTCAGCACCTTGGTCACGTGCGAGAAGAGGGCCACGTGCAGGTTGGTGCGCAGCCGGATCGGACGCAGGAAGGACTTGGACGTGGAGCTGCGAGAGCCGCGTCGCATGTTGAACTGATAGAAGCCGAAGCCCGTCTGCTGCTCCCCATTGACGTCCACGATGTCGTAGCCCATCTCCTCGCCAGCCTGCAGGAAGGCCGGGCCCAGGGGCGTGTTGTAGGGCGAGTCCTGCACGGTCCAGGGGCCACCTTCGAGGGGAAAAGAAAGACCAGTTCAGCCGAGAGCTCAGTTTGAAGGAGATGCATGCCCAGGTTACCTGTTCCATGGTAGCGCTTGTTCCTCGCCAGGTAGGGATTACGCTGGTCCTCGGACTTGCGGAAGTATGGCAGGATCTCCTCGTAGGACCAGCCCGGATTGCCGAACTCTGCCCACTGGTCAAAGTCCCTGCGATTGCCTCTGATGTAGAGCATTGTGTTGAGCACCGAACTGCCGCCCAGCACCTTTCCCCTTGTCCAGCAGCAGCGATGGTCCTTCATGGCCTGGCAGGCAGTGGCCTGGGGCTGGGTGCTGAAATAAACACAGAGATTTCGAGTTACAACGAGACATCGAGATGGAATGGACAATGGAAAGTGCACAAGAACGATTGGAAGTCAGTGGGTGATACATGCAGAGTATTGGGTTAAGGATACCCTAGAGTCTCCAAGTCTCTAGCGAAAACAATTTGGGTTTATTGCCGGCTTTATCGGCAAAACAAGAAACAAGATACAACCAATAATAATTAACCAGTCAACAAAGCGATAAAGCGGCAATGAAAGCCCCTCTCTGGGAGAGCCGGTCTGGCGAGTGTGGGGCACTGAGATGTCGGACGCGGCTTGACCAGTGGCCAAATTACGACACCACAAAAGAAACGACAGCGACAGCGACAGCGACGGCAGAGACAGAGAGAGCGAAGTGTTAAACGCTCATTAGGGCCCACTCGGTCAGTGCAAAATCCAAGCGGCAACGAACCATTTGACCTCTACTGGCGCCACCCCCTCCTCATTCACGTAGTACCGTAATGGTTTCGGGTATGGCATGCGTATCCACTGAGTGGCATTTAGTTTTAACTGCTTCAAGGCCTTGGAGTCTTCGAAATGTCTTGCAGCACTTTGTTAGAGATTGCCCAAGCGGGCTACTCGCAGAAGATGCAGAAAATTGGAAGCTACATGAATAGATGGATAGAATAAGCTTCAGAAAGGATCGAAAGACGACCGCAGTCGAGCACCTGGCAAATGTTGCATATTCCGCTCATTCGAAAGTGCTGATCGGTATGCTCACATTGTCAGAACCATTGAACGGCTTGCTCGTTGGCACTGATCCAGATTCACGCTTTCGGAGGCCACATAAACAGTTTACAATACAGCAGAAAGTAATATTAAAGCCAATTGTGGAATTGGAAACAAAATGCCTCTCAAGGTCCGCCAATCCGCGTCCAGCCTTTCCATTTCCCTTTCATGACCAGGCCTGGTCGCAGATCTTTCGATTGCGTGAGTGCATCCAATGCGAACGAAACAAATTGGCCAACAAAACGTTTTGACAACTATCTGTTTCGTTTCGTTTCGCTCCCGTTCCCAATCCCATTTGGAATACCGTTCCGATTCCGTTTCCAAATTGGTTTCCTTAAGAGCGCGCCTGATCGAACCCCCGGAATGAGCTAAACACATAGGAAGACGTTTGTGGCTAATGAAAATACAAATTACTGGCGACAGGCGACAGGCGACAGGCAGCACCAATCAAGATGACAAAACAAAACGAAACAAACGGAAATCAAATGTCAGCTTGCGGAAAAACCCCATCGAAATGATGTGGTTAGCATGCCATGGAGAAAAGCGTGCCCAAAGAGAGGGAGAGAGAGATTAGTTTCGGTGGAAAAGTGGTGCGATGGCCCATCATTCACTTGGCTGGCATTTCCATCTTATCTGCCCTGCCCTGCGCTGCCCTGCCCCCCATTGATTCACACCTGCCATCGGGGTGGAGGTGGAGGTGGAGGTGGAGGTGGCGAGGGGTGAACGGTGAACGGTGAACGGTGAGGGTAATTAGCATATGACAAGCATCGTCTCAGCTCATCTGTGTATCTGTTGCTCAGTGATTTATGCTCTCGGTGGATCGGCTATGAATATACATTTCCTGTTGCCTTAACCCCGCGGACACCCAAGACCCAGACCGAGCCCCCGGGGCCGAACCACACGCGACGATGACGAGCCATTAATATGAATTCGCGCCACCGCCGCACCACAGCCCCACCGTAACCCCACTGTGCCACATTGTTCGGCATAGTGACTTATTGGCTACGTGCTCCAGACACAGCTGCCGCCTGAAATGAAAAGCGAAAGAAAACCAGAAAGAAATGAGCCATCGAATGGGCCATCGAATACCCTTTCAGGTTTCCGATTGAGAGTTCTAGATCCACAAGGCATCTAAGGTACTGCCCATACTTTCATGGTACTGTAGAGCCCAATGATTGACCAATTTAAGGTACACCCTAGTCTGCCCTTTGCGGCATTACCACTGTACCCTCTGCAGGCGTGGGTATGGAGCAAAAAACAACACTTTCGCCCCAACTCCGGCCTCGACTTCCATCTGACGCCCAACTGACGCAATTTGTTTGTCTTTTATTAGCCATTTAACAGTTTACTCACATAAACGTAACAAATTATTATTAACTCATTTCGCTCAGTTTATTTACTCTGTCTGTCTCCTTTTTATGGTGGAGTGCCGTGGAGTCCCCTGATATTAATGGAGAGCAGAAAAGTGGAAAGCCCCACCTCACGGTTACGATTAAATGGGGCTAATGATTGATTGTCCATGCATTCAGACACATCTTTAAGTGATGATAGTTTTCTATAGATATGTTACAATTTGTAGGTTTATTGAGTGTCTTTTCAAGCGAAAGATAACGTCCTTTGCCTCTAATATTCCTTAGCATTTCGGTCGTAAGTAGTTGTTGAAAGAATTGTCCATAACATTTCCTACTGTCTTCTTGAGTATTCTACAAAACATATCTGGAACATCACTCAACGATGGTGTTCTAAAAGATACCCAATGTTCAATACATTACCTGTGTAGAGATATTTTAAGGTATTTATCAAGGTCATATGGATGCTGGAACGGGGACAAATACATTCCCGCTGAAAGCCCTTTGCGTATTAGGGAACTGTGGAATCGGAACAGGCCAGACATTAGGGGCATTCACTCACTTAGCAGCATACAATAATTGCTGCTTGTGAAATGCATATGAATACCGAAATTAGAGTTGATTGCATTGTTGTCGTAATTGTTTAATGCTCGTTAGCCGAATGTTGGTTAAGGCCTTGCCGGCGTTTGGGGTTTTGGGCTTTGGGGCTTTGGAGGGAGAAATAATGCGCTCGTATGGAACAACTGTTGATTGCCTTATAAAAATCACTTAACGGCCGCATTAAGCAGTAAACGGCGCTAGTCAAACGAAATCAAATGTTTTATTAATGGAAATATCATTGGAGTCAAGTGGCGATGCATAATATATAGTATGTGCCAGATAAATTAAGACGAAAATCAGACATAAATACGAGTACATTAAAATATCGTAAGATCAAACACTTGGAGAAGTGTGCGACGTGCCTTTAAGAATAGAACATACTGCCTTTAGAATTTATTTAATTCAAGAATAAAGGACCTATCATCTGAATCTATTAATAAAGGATATCTCTGTCTATCTATTTATCTGAATCTTTGAGCATATATAGCCTTTATACAAACCCAACCGAAAACCTTCAATTCCCATTTTCCATTCGATTCTCTGTTTCGTTTTGTCCCCATTCCTTTCCGTCCATTACACTTTCAATGAATATGTCATAATTTTGAGTGTGTACATATTTCATTGGTGTTAATTATATTAACAACATTTTAAGGTCCATACTAGGGGAGTGTTATCAACTTTTCGATTAAGTAAAGCCATATTTCAGCATTGCTATTAACGAATATTGTTATTCTTTTTTGGGAACTCCACAGCTGTTTTTATTACTCAGTTGACACACATCGCGGTGGCGTATGACGTAGCCAGTGATGCCTGTCGCCGAGCCGAGCCGACCCGAACCGAACCGGCTCACGTATCTCTCATTGAGCTGTTGCTGTTTCTGTTTCTTCTTTCGATTGGCAACAGTTGGAGTACGAGTACGAATATTCAGGTGCAATTGCAAAGCTGTATCCGAGCTGTCGTTTCATTTCAATTCGTTTCGCCGCGTTCCGTTTCGTGCCGATTCCATAGCGGCAAACCAGTAACCGCTTAACCCACTTTATCACGTCGGACGAGCCGGTTTGGCCAGCAATTGGCCAGCCTCGAGTGCTATTGGAGTTGGGAAATTGGAAATTGGTCTGGCGTAGGATATCCCGACCAGAGAGCAGACATCCGGCTGCAAGGGGCGTGGACACCCAGCACATGCACACAAAGTTTTGGCATTAACGAACACTGCCAGGCGATGACGATGACATTATTAAGTGTTGGCCGTCAGGGGTCGTCTCTCCCGCTCCGCTCGGATTGCATAATATCCAAAAAGTGGAATTTCTGCTGCTTTTGGGCGGGGATTTAACGAGCCTTCGACTCTGCCTCTGCCTCCGCCTCTGCCTCCGACTCTGCCCCCGACTCTGCCTCTGTCCACGTTTTGGAGCCACGCTGGTGTCTGGCTAATCATCGCTGCGTGTATCAAGTCAATAGTAGAACAAGACAGATTTACTGCTGTTGCAGCTATTGTTTGCTGTTGCCAGTCCCCCCTCTCTTTCCCGCCCCAAATGGCTTGCAAACGAGTTGCCACAGTCGGTGGCTTTGTTGGTTATGAAATATTTGAAGTATTCGTCGGCAGGCCGTAAAACTTTGATGTACTTATCCCGAAACACTGTGGGGATACACCCATTGGCTTGCTTCTCTTGCGGGCGGGACTGTACCTCTCTCCTATCGCAAATTACAACTCAACTTTTGATGGCCTCGAATGCCTAATACGAATTATTTTATAGCACTTCCTTATAGTCGAATACGTAATGTTCATTAGTTATGTATTACCATTAAAGCGAGATTACCCTCTATACTGGTAAGGCCAATCCTTGGAAAGGAGAACATCGCTGACAAGGCTCTCCCCATCGATGTAGTGCACAACACTCTTTTGAAAGTCCTCCTTCTCATGGATTGACCTTGAACCAACCCGACAACAAATTGAAATGAATAAATTGATGACATCAATTTGGGGCTTTCTCGTACAAGAGAAACTTTTCCTTTCCCGATGAGTCACATTCGATCGTCGACATGGAAACGGGTATCACTCAAGAGAGTGGATCGTATCGGATTGGATCTCTACGAAAATTTTAATTTCAATTCAATTCGATGCAGTTGAATGCAACAATTCGCGCGGAATTTCCTGTTTTCTGTGTCAGCCCGCTGTCCGTCATAAATCAGCTTCTTAGGCACTCAAAAATTCACCAATACATTAAGAGAAACCCCCTGTTAAAAATGCACCTGAGAAGTTAAATTACAGTAGGTTATACCCTATCCAAAGGGCTCTACAGATTTCATAGGAAAAAGTATACAAATCCAGCATTGGATGGCTTCATCGTACCAGTTTCAAGGTAAAAGCCAATCAAGAACTTCGGTATATCGCTATATCTTTTATACCTGTTTCGTTTTAGATATTCCTTTATGTGTAGCTTGGTTTTTTGTTAGGGTATCTACTGGGTCACAGCTGACTGACGATGGAGAGCGGGCCTGGACGAGACAGGCACGGGCAATCCAAGCAACGTCACCAGACCCAGTCCCAGCCCCAGTCCCGGATCAGGCCACCCCGAGTGATGCAACGATTCAGAAACACGCTCGCATGTTGCCCCACATTGCGCGCTGCACTAAACATTTGTTTCAGTTTCCATTCCATTCCATTGCAGTCACGCAAATTCAATTGGAATGGAATGCAATGGAATCGGAACGCGATGATGATGGGAGTGCTAATGGTTTTGGAATTCTGAAAGTGAAACTGCAGAAGATGAAAGGGGGAATGGGGAATGAAGCAGAAGAAGAGGAAGATACAACGAAAACAAAATCGCCGCTAGGCCTCGGACCCAGCCCAAACCATTAAACAGTTAAATGGATTACGGTATTGGTAACGCGAGAGGCAGCAAAAAAAACAGAAAGAAAAACAGAAAAAATTCCGAAAATGCCGAAAACTCATGAATAATTGAGCAGCCAGCAGTAGATTTTTGGTGGCCGCAGCAACAGGCGGGACCCGTCACCATCATCAGCTGTTTGCTAATGAAGCCACAGCCGAAATGCCGTGAGATAGAAAACTGTTCAAACCGAAATCGAAACCGACCCAGGTCGAGCCTCTGCCTGGGGCCTTGGGGATGGGGAGGGACTTCCTAACGGTAGCCCGTTCTAATTTGAATCAGTCACAGCATGGTCTGGTCTTCCAATCATTGCTAACCGAACTGTCTGTTAAGCAGCCGTATAAAGCCTCATTTAATTGCTGTTGGAAAGCACAGAGAAAGAAACAATCAAAACGATCGTGCTGGTCATCTTTATCTAATTGGAACATTCTGGAGCGCCGATTGGAGTGGGCAGTGGAGAAAAGTGAAAGATCTGAGAAAACTGGGGCAAATGGGAACAGAAGCCGCCACTTGACAGCTCTGAGGAATGTTGTCAATGAACCAAGAAACGGCGAAGAAGGAACACCAATCAGAACGGGGTCTGAAAGGGGACAGCCACAAAGAACAAAGAAAGATTCAAGTTTGGAAAATAATCTAGGAACATGAAACAAAGGATCGGAAATGAATTCCAAATGAAATGCCAAGGAAGGCGCCCAAGAACTCGATTCTTTATTCGAATCAGGAGGAGACCTCTCGAGATCTCTCAGGAGCCTCTGTACTCGTATCCGTTCCAGGTCCATTCCCTGCGATGAGTTTGAAGTTGGTGACTCAATCTGTATTTACATATGTCTTGCCTTTCTTAAGCCGAAATCGTTTGCTATTTGCGTGTGAAGATAGCTCTGGCTCTGGCTCTGGCTCGTGCAACACTCGTTGTAATATGAAATTTGGCAGGCAGTTGCTAACTAAACGAATCCGGCCTTTTGCCATCGGCCTGGCCTCTGTCTTGTCTTGACTCGCCTGAACTCCACGTGTGCTCGGGCTGGTCTATTCCAAATGCAAATGATGACCATTTCGGAGAGATTTGCATTAGCTGCGGCTAATGCCCAGAATGGGCCACGACCACTAATCGAAAGGGCCGAGTCATTGAATGGGTTTTTTGGGGAGCAAAAGGGTGCAAACAAAAGCATAAACACAGTCAAAAGTGTCAAGTGACAGCCACGGAAACTGGGCCACTGCTAAGGCCAAGAGCCTCACCCACTTTGACCCTCTCACCACTCCCCACTCCCCACTGACTACTCACCGATACTTCCAGTCCATTTTGCTTTTGTGCAAATAGAGCGAGAGGAGCGGCACATCCGATATGTCCGTCTCGTGGCCGCCGGCCTCCAGCAGCAGTATCTTCCAGTGGCTGATCTCGGAGAGGCGGGACGCGAGCACAGTGCCCGCCGATCCGCCGCCAATGATGATGAAGTCGTACGCCTGGTCCACCTGGGGCACATTGAAGGGCCGGTTCTCCGGGTCGAACAGGTCGTAGTTGTAGTACGCGATGGCCGCTATCAGGAACGGCAGGATGGTCAGCCTGCCCACGCCCACGACGGCGGTGGCCAGCTTGATGGCTCCGGCTATGGCCAGGCCCAGCTGGGAGGCCCCCACGGCGGCCGCGCCCGCCGAGGCGGCGCTGCTGGCCTTAAACAGTAGGCCACCCACCGATACGGCGGCGGCGCCCAGAGCGGGAACAACAACCATTCTGGATCTGAATCGGGTTCGGGTTCGGGCTCGGGTTCGGGTTCGGGTATGGGCCTGGATTGGGGGGGGTGGCCTTCTACGGGCTTGAACTTGTCCTCTTTGGATCTCTGTACTTTCCCGCTCAGAATGTATCGAAAGCCAAAGCCTGGCACACTTTCATTCGCTCGTCACGATCACAGTGGCACAGTGGCAGTGGCAGTGGCAGGCGCAGTCACGTTCACAATCACGTTCGCGTTCACTTCTGTTGTTGCTGTTGTTGCTGTTGTTGCACTTTCATTCGGCGCACACATTGAGGCAAAAAAACACCAAAAAACAAAGCAAAAAATCCACACAAAAAATACGCACTCACTAAACACAAAATTCAACAGACACAAAAATAAATATCAATTGTAATAGAAATTTTGTGGCTTGTGTTTGTTTTCTTTTGGGCCGCGCGTCGCTCTTCGTTTCGTTTAGGCCATCCGCCTCGTCTGGCTGTCGCTGCTCTTCTGAGCCACAAAAGCAACTCGTGTGCGACGTTTTTGTCTTTGCTGCTTTTGGCCGGGAGTCCAGGGGGGGACTGCAAGCTTTCTTGTTGCAACGCGCTGGCAGCGGCAGCAGCAGCGGCAGCGGCAGCGATCAGTTGCGCATGTGCCATGCCGTGCAGCAGCTTTGGCCCCAGCCATGCGTTCCCGTTTGCTTTTGCTGCCGCTGCCGCTGCTGTTGGGGGCTCCTTTTGCGCTGCTTCTGTTGCGGTTACGACGGCGACGGCGACGTCGACGGCGGCAGAGAGCATGTGCGCTGTACGTACTCTTTGCCTCTCTTTCCCTCCCTGGCTATCTCTCTGTTTGTGTCTTTCTTGCGGTTTCTGCATACCCTTTCGAAGAGCAGATCCGCAGACCCGATCGCTGTGTGTTTCTCCATATTTTGAAGGGTATCAAAGGCTTCGGCTAGCTTATCTTTCGCCGGCGCTGGGGGTCTCCTTTTGTGCTTTTGTGCTTTTATGCTTTGGCATTGCAAAACGCTTACCATTTCGGCCAATGGCGCTCCTGGGGTCTCTCTCTGATTCCATCGGACTCACAAGTCGGCCACCAGAAGTAGTTCTTGCATGCCAGTACCAAAACAACGATAACGAGACGTGTGTACAGTCTACACACTAGTGCCTTAATAGATGCACACTATGCAGTAATAGGTAGGCTAAGAACTAAAGCTATTCCTTTCAAGCCATGCTCTTATGCTACAACTTTTCATCTAAGAAAGTCCTAAGAGGTCAGGCTTCGATGTCCGTTACTCTCGTTGATACTCTTACGAGTATTATGCAAAAACTGTAACGAGTACAGCCAACACGATGGGACCATCGTTACGCTTTCGCGTGATCGGAATACTACCAGGCACGTGTATCCTTCTTGGATAACCCCCAATCTTCTTTGCTGATTGCTTGGGCTCCTGCTGGGCTACCTGCAGGCGGGCTGTAGGCCAAGTTCACTGCCTGGATAACGCTCTCGCTGTCATTCTGTTCCCGATTGGATAAGACGCACACTTGGCTTGCCTGGGGGCTGGCCTGTCACGCGAACGCGTCATCTGACAAATGATATGCACTCGTATACGGATGACATGTGCTCTGCCGCAGCTCGTACTCCCCTAACAGTCACGCGAACGCGTCATATGACATATAGCACTTTATCGGAGCCCGTTCTCCGTATGCGAATGGTGATGACATGTGCTCCTGTCCTCCTGTCCTCCTGTCCTCCTGTTCCCTGTGCATATATGTATCTGTATCTGCTCTCCTGCTGGGCTCTGCCTCACGGGCATCCTGCTTGGCTAACGCTGCTGCTGACAGCCGATGGAACGGTCCGTTGCAAAACGTTAACCGTTTGGCGCTCTCGCTCTCGCTCTCTTTTTGCCCGGTTCCTTGGCGGTTTGCCAATGTGATTGCGGTGGCTGTGTGGTTGCGAAACGGTTACGTGGTGGACCACCAGCACCAGCACCAGCCAGCAGCTCCTGCCTCGCCCTGGCATTTGCCAGTGCCCCGCTTTTCACGTGCCCCGCTTCTTGCGGCTTGCGGCTTGTGGCTTGTGGCTTACTTCACAGACGACCTTCATGCTCGCTTGACAGTTATGTGCGCTCTCCAGTAAGGCAGTCAGGCAGTCAGGCCGCCCCGCTGTGTAGTTGAATCTGCTCACGTAAGCCACCTGCCACGAGCAGAGGAGCAAAGAGAGAGAGAGAGCAGCAGGCAGAACCGATATCATCCATTGATTTTGGCTTGGCATTGAACAAGAGTTCAATCAAAACGACGGCGATTCAAGTGAAATTTCAGACATTATTTGTATGGATGGTTAAACCGGTTTTTGTTGTTTTTTGGTACCCATCGCTGAACAGATTGTGGGCCAAGCAATTGTCAAATCACGAGCAATCCAAAATGGGGATATCTATTAAAAAAAAAAAAACCAAGTATTTTTGGTCTTTGCCTATCGGGAAATCGGTAATCTCTAGAGACAGACAACCATATAATGGGTTCCGTTTCCCGTCTGAAACGGAAACTGTAACTGCTCCGACTTTTATGGTTGATTGTTACTGAAAATACTACGAGTTCCATATAGGATGGGTCTATATGTGCACCTTTCTTTGCCTTCTGTGCATCCTGCCTACCCCCGGCTCACTAGCTTTCACTGTACAAATCATTGTGTTCTACCCAGGGACTCGTACAGTCTCTATAGATTCTATAGATACAGATCTGGAGCGTGTCGATGCGTCAACGCTGCGACACGGCTCGGCGGCTGCTCCCATGATCTGGCCAGTGATCTATGGCTGTGCAGGTGTCGAACCAATCGGAGATGTTAAACCGTTTCGGAGCCACAAAATCAATTTCACAGCAATTCTAATCGCAAGCTTGTGCCGTGCCGTGCGGCACAGTGTTTGAGGCTTTGCTTGGGCAAAACGTACAAGTATGTTGCTCTACTTCCACCCACCTCTCTCTATCCCTTTCTCTATCCCTCTCCCTCTCTGACGAAAGTCGTACGAAATATAATGCCCGAAAATTATCGGAGCCATGATGTGACGATCGTTTGATATATCGCAAGTTTGTTTCTTCTGTTTTCTGTTTGGGTTTCCTATCGCTAATGGGGCAAGGTCAAGCCAACTCGGAGTTTTCCCGTGCGAAAATATTTGAGGAAACTCGCCCTCCCAAACACAACTTGACAATACTGAAAAAAAAAGCCAAAAAATAAACTTGTCAAACTCTACAATGATTTGTGTCTCTCGGTCTCTATCGTCTGTTTGTTTGTGTCTCGTCTCGTCTCGTCTTGCCTTGATGACGATACTCTTGGCCCTAGGCGAGGCCCATCCCCAGGGCCTAGTACGGTCAAGGGCTTTGATGGATCTTGGGAATGCCTTTGGTTTATGGCAGCCAAGGAGTCGTTAATAAGTAACTAATGCAACTCCTGACGAGTGGTCCAAGGCCCATGCCTCCTGTTTTCCTACCATCAACCATCTCTGGGCTCCCAGGCCTCTAACCCCATAACCCCATGGCCCCTGGGCTCCCCCTTACAATCAACGATTTCCGCCACAATTGCAATTTACTTAGCGCATCGCGCACTTGGGCCTTATGGCCGACAGTTTCCGGCACTTACAGAGTCCCCTGATGGAACGGGGGAGGGGGGCTTGGGTTGCCCAATTAACAAACAAATTTTTAGCTCGCGGGCAATTAAAAGTGAAAATAGTAGAAGGCACTAAGCTGCTCATAATTTGGCCAAAAACAAAGTGAAGAGGCGTCCAAGAGATCTACTTACGTCCCTGTGGAAGAAAGCTGAATGTGAGGGGGTGACATAACACTTGGCTCCATCGACCATCGGTGGACCCGTTCGGTGTTTGCCTGCTGGGGCCTAGTGCTGTGTCATCTGCCCAGGCACATGCTGCTGCTGCTGCTGCTGTGTGTGTGTGTGTGTGTGTGTGTACTTGACTCACTGAAACAAAATGAACTTCATTAAACGAAGCCATTTATGTAGTAATATCAGCAAGTGGCACGTTACTCTCCCAGCGATGGGCTCGTGAGGGCATCCATGGCACCATGGCACTAGAAGACACAAGATGGTCCCTCAAGAGGCTTCCTCTAGCCAGAATGTGTCCCGATCTAACGAGAAAGCGAAAATATACTCCTTTTGAAGTCTCCAAGTACTCCATATATCGTGAGTATCGATAGCCTTGTCACGCGCCCATCTCCAGTCTCTATCACGGCGCGTACATCTCGTCGGCAGTCGAGTGTGGCACCATGGCACTAGAAGGCACAAGATGGTCCCTCAAGAGGCTTCCTCTAGCCAGAATGTGTCCCGATCTCACGAGAAAGCAAAAATATACTCCTTTTGAAGTCTCCAAGTACTCCATATATCGTGAGTATCGATAGCCTTGTCACGCGCCCATCTCCAGTCTCTATCACGGCGCGTACATCTCGTCGGCAGTCGAGTGTGGCACCATGGCACTAGAAGGCACAAGATGGTCCCTCAAGAGGCTTCCTCTAGCCGGAATGTGTCCCGATCTAACGAGAAAGCAAAAATATACTCCTTTTGAAGTCTCCAAGTACTCCATATATCGTGAGTATCGATAGCCTTGTCACGCGCCCATCTCCAGTCTCTATCACGGCGCGTACATCTCGTCGGCAGTCGAGTGTGGCCGACTTTGCTGCCCTACGTGTGCCGCACACCGCACACCGCACACCATACGCCACATATTGGATGGATGTGGGCTGCAGACAGCAGCGGGCTACTTCAACGGCAAACGAAGCAGCCGAAGAGCATCATTCATCTAATCACTTGCCTAAACGGTGGGTACTATTTTTTGCTGGCGTCATTCCCAGGGCTGGCCTGGCCTGCCCCCCCCCCCCCCCCCCCCACCCCACTATCTCGGTCACACATCTTGAGTGATTTCGTTTAATTGGATTCCATTTGCTACCTGGTGTCTTGCAGTGTGGGCAGGCGAGAGTCGCTTATTACGTGCCCTGCCGCCTGCTAATTGTTCCGCAATGGGAG